CCGGCGGGCAAACCTCAGGTGAGAAGGGAAATAATGAAGGATTTTGATCTCCTATTTTGGCTTTAGGCTTTAGGAAATATTTAATCAAATCCAATTGAATTAAAATTTTTCAAATAGATATAGATTAAACTTTCCTAACATAGTGACTTGAACTAGGAAACGCAGTTTGAAATTCAAACTTGGATTGAATCTGAATTTCAGAATTTTCGCACAGGGGTCTCCAACCTAATTAGGGAATCTCAAAGGTGAATTGGGAAGTGGGGGTGGCCGGCGGCATGTAGGGCCTTAAACCGGCGGTCAAGAAAGGCTATTGGGCAAAGTGGCCGGGGTTGATGGGGGGGAATTTAGTGGAGCTGGTGGGAGGAAATTCGGGAAGTTTGGTGGATTCTGGGACGGCACAAAAAACGAGTGATGGAAGGTGGCGAAGAAACGCAAAATACAATAGCAAAGCCAACGAACCCAGACCAACCAGGTTTGGTGGGTGATGCGCCACATCTTCCCTCTCCAAGCGGATCTCTTCCCAAGCTCTCCAAGAAACTCATCAAAGGGCTCTCAAACTACAAGTGCAGGAAAAATTCTCAAAATCATTCATTCAACTCATTCAGTAGCTCTCAAAACAAAGGAAATGAGGCTGATTAAATAGACGGGTAACAACTCAAGAAAAATAAAAGACCAACGTTGCCCTTGGGCTTACTATGCGACCACTCCCATGAAGAGGGTACAAAGGGAAATAATAACGACACATAAGCGAAATAAGAAGAATGCATAAATAAAATAAAATACAATCATGACTCGAAATACAGGGACCTCGATCGTGGCCGTAGATCGGCGGCCACGTACTGATAAACCTTGCACGCTGATTATGTCCCATCAGTCTATCCCTGGTAAAACGACTCTGTAATACCAAGGGCACACGAATGGTCCCACCTTAACTCGGGGGCAATTCTCTCTGGGCGACGTGGTGGAAGAAGAATCAAGCAATCTATTGTAGACCTTAGTTTCAACGTAGCTAGTGTCGAGCTCTAACAACTCCACCAAAATTTTTAAAATAAATTGATTTAAAACATATGAAAATCTGGATCCAACAGGCAGCATTACGGCGCTATGCTAGCAAGCGCAACGACGTAGGTGAGCTGCAGCGCTAGCAAACCGCTGTCGTGGCATTGCAATCTCTGTTCTATAGTAACTCAAAGATCAGCATGCAACATAGAGACGCTGGGAAGTTGGGCACCACGCCGCTGGACACTAGATCACCTTTTTAAAATATTTCATATTAAATATCACTCACCACCACCCAATACCCCCATTTCATTTGCTTTCCATGTAAGGAAAGAAAGGAGAAGGACAAGATAATGGAGAGAGAGAAGAGGAACGAGAGAGAAGAGAGAAAGCTCTTCAGGGTTTTTCGTCTGTATTTCTTTTTATGAAAATTGTTCTGATTGTTATAAGTGACCTCTACTCTACTTTTGTTTTTAGATAATTTTTCATTTTAAATATCCATCCAACTTGAAAGTGATAAAAATGCAATATCTCTCGTTTTAGTGAACTTTCATAGTGTAACTTTTGGTATATAGCAGGTATTGTTATTCTAAATGTTTTAACTGGTTTAAATGAAAATTTCACCGGGTGAAGTTATGATTTTCTGAAAAAAATGAATACTATAAAGATTAATATTGCATTTCATGGATTATTATATTTCATATATGATATTAACTTGTATAGAGAAAATAATGACTAATATATGATAAATATGGCATTTAAATTTAAGCAAGCAAGGAAGACTAGTTGTTAACACCATAATTAATATGGGTTGGCTCGTAACATAATAATACGTTATACAGGAGGGTGAGCCTGTAATCGATTATGAATAAAAGTTTATGATATAAACCTGGATGTTAGCATATAATTGATTTATCGATTACAATGACGGGTAGACAACTCTTCATTAATTTATTTAAAGCCACGTGTCAAAATAAATATTTAATAGAGATAATTGAAAGATATAATTGATGGGTTGATGGATATATAAGATAAATGAATGACAGATGGAATGATAAAAATAAGACTTTAAAGTTGGATTTCCTACCTTGTTAAATTCAACAATAATATGCATACATGATATAGTAGATATGGAAATAATATATATGACAAATGAAAGATAAGATAGATGGACTAATGACAGATGAAACCGATAACTGATAAGACTGATGATACGTGAGATACGATATACGGTGATTGATTGACTGGTGATAGAATTGACATGTAGCTAGACTAATAGAGTGCTGATATGAACATACATGGTGAGGATATGACTGATATGAATATGATAAAACTACATATGAATTACATGAGATAAGAGAAACTATTATGCCTGTTATGTGATTATTGATTATGTTTGATGCAATGATTTCAGTTGTGGATATTCTGAGTTATGTGATCATTATGTGATTTTTATATATTTTCAGGCAAACGTAAGGAATCTGTAGATTAAGGTTAATGTGGATTGCAAGCTTGAGTTTTCTTTCTACATCTGTCAATTTTTCTCTTTCTTTTTGTATTCATGAAGTATGTTTAGTGATAGACTATTTTTAGTTGCACATCATGATTATTGTATGTTATTTTGAACTCTGGATCAAAGTATAAATATTGACTATAGAAATGCAATTATGTTTTCTGATGTTTATGTTTTATGAATGCAATTTGTAAGTTTTGGTTATTGATTGAAATGATAAAGATATGTGTAATCCTTCTAATTTAGATTTTGGGGCATGATAGTTGCAAACCGAGAGCATACCTGATCAAACCCTCTCGTAGACCTTGGGTAACTATCGCCTAGGCATCTACCATTTCTAGGTCTTTCACATCTAACATTTATCTATAAAACCTTACAATGAAGTATCTAAGAGACACATTTGATTCCAGACTCATTCTTAAGAAAGATTACATGTTCTTCAAAGACTTTTGAGCACTAGAGAAATATGTGATGGACATTCTTCTGAACTCGGCGAAGGATGCGATGATGCCCAACAAGAGGCACGAGAACCGCCAAAGGAAAAATTCCTTGAAGGTGGGAAAAAACAAATGATACTTCATTACTTCAGTGTATTATTGATGTCGAGTAGTCAAACAGTTGACTCAAAGGAGGCACAATGCTCAAATGCGTTCGTCCATCCTTTATATGACTTGAAGGGCGACATTTTGAACTTCACTAGAGATTAGCTCTATGATTTCCCTAGAAAATGTGCTCCCTAGCAAAGGAACTTGACTCCTCACTTGTTTGGGCAAGGGAGTGGATTCTTCTTCACAATCGAGGTAGTAGTTTTGTCCATTATGAGTGTTAAGGTTGTGCTCATGCACTTGATCTCGCCCTTTAGATCACAAAATCCAAAAATCCTTCCTGCACACTATCAGGGCTCTGGGTACATGCTCAAAAGCCCACAAGATCATTCGCATTATCATTTCCTCCATCTCCATAAGTTTTCGGTTAGTTAAGAACTCTTGATTCACCATGTTCACAAATCTCACCCTATTTTATCATTTTGCCTCTTGTAGTGCTTGACTTTTGGTCTGTAGCATCAATCCACACTTATTACACCTAAATGGATGTTGGATCTAATTTTTTTCCATGGGTGATACAAAACTCTATAAGATGATGGTGAGACCTGCAATGCTTTATGGTACAAAATGTTGGCCATTAAAAAAGGGGCAGAATACCAAGTTAAGTGTTGCAGATATGAGGACGCTTAGGTGGATGAGTAGCTTTCCTCTTAGAGATAGGATATGAAACGAGCATATACGCCAAAAGGTTTAAGTAGCTCCTATGGAAGATAATATTAGAGAGAGTCGCCTTAGATGGTTTGGCCATATAAAACGATGGGCTTCTGATGACCCGGTTAGGAAATTAGATGCGTTGGATTTGGCTTATGTTAAGAAAGGTAGAGGTGGATCTAAAAAGACTTGGTTATAAAATGTTAGAAATAACCTTTCTTTATTAGATTTATATGAGAATTTGACTCTTACCATGACACAATGAAGAAAAATGATTCATGTAGCTCCTATATAGCCGAATAAAGGCTAGATGTTATTGTTGTTGATGGTGGTAGTGGTGATACAAAACTCTACTTGCAATACTAGCTACATCCTCACTGAAGAAGAAGAAAGAGACATGTGAGTAAGAAAAGGAGCTCTAACACTTTACTACCCTATGTGAATGGTAAAACTAGTCTAAGTCCAAAAAAATGTCCGACTCAACTCAGGCTTTATATAGTTAAGAGCGCAACAACATAAACTACACCTATAAAATAATATATGATATGACTATTACTGACATGTGATGGGACTTTGACGATTACATGTGGGCAACTGTCTTTGATGTGGCTCTGTAGCATTTTTGGCAAGCCTGTAAATGCCTTTGGAGAGTACCTTTGGACGCCTTTGGCGAGGGTTCTTGGCACCTTTGGTGAGTTTTATGACAAGTTTCCAGTTGAATAGATGCGACATCCTAGATGGGTGTGGGTGAAACTTTTCCTTTTTTTTTTAACTTACTCGGATTCAAATATTGAGATGTACAAAATAGATATGTATATATTCAAATATATAAATTTGTGTATTGTATCCATGTTATGCTAATTTTTCATAATTCTAAATTAACATATCGCCCAATGCACTAAATTAACTTTTCCATGAAAATAATCAACATCATCATAATATTCACCCCAAATATTTGGGATTTTATTTAATGAATTATTCTTTCTTCAGGATCCAATAACTCTATGCATAAAAAAAGCATAAGAAATGATATCATGCCGGATTGATATTAACGAAGAAAAACATGTAAGCATTGAAACATAATTACCTTTTATATTTGAAAAAATTAGAGGAAAAAAGGTAATAGGAAGCATTTTTCCTCATCAATGTGCGCAATATCCATGAAAAAAACAGTATTCATTTATTTCTTTAAATGAAAAAAACAAGCTGTAAACATTATGAATTCTCACAAAATAACAGAACATCATTCTAAAGTACCTGTCCAAGAAATATTCCCTCTTCAAGTTGGTATGCTAGTTTCGAGCATAAGTTTATAGATAAACCAGAAAGTAGTGACATAGAAAGAGGGCAAGTTTCTCGCATCATCATCATTCTATCATTAGACTGTACATTTGGTCCTTGCAGAATTTCAGTTACACCGGCAGAAGTAAACCAGTTCATCACAGCATCACAAGCCGGCTGTGCCATGGTGTATGACAAAACCCAAAACATACCCATTGATCTTTCATCCACATTCATAAAATCCATCATGCGTTCACCTGAATGCAAACAGAACAGAGAAAAAAAAAATAACAACCTTGAGAATAAGCAAACTTTGACAATCAAATATTCAAAAAACTTCTAGATGTCAAAGACAGACAAAACAATAACCTGTCAAGATAATTTCTTCTCCAAAATAATAGCTTGGATTAAAAAGATAAATACTATGAAATTCCTGCAAAATTCTATTCAACCGTGACAAGCCCTTCTCAAATAACTCATATTAGTTGAAAATTAATTAAAAGGCAATGAGGAACCTTATGTTTGGATTGAATATAATCATGAGAAAAAGGCACTTAAAATCATTAAGAGGAGAACAGACGTTAATCTTCAAGATATCATTAGATTTGTTTCTTGCAACAATTTGCTTCTATTAGTAGTTGCTATTACTGTTTTACTCCTATCTTATAACTCTATAGCTCCATATCATTGCATCCTTGCAAATTTTATTCTTTCTAATGAGAAGGGGGTTCCCCCTAAATTTTCAGGGTAAAAAAATGAATAGTTCACAAATACACGATCAACAACAACATCGAGCCTTTATCCCACTATGTTGAGTCAACTACATGAATCTTCTTTTTTTTTTTTCATTGTGCCCTGTTAAAAGTTAAATTCTTATTTAAATCTAATAAAGAAATGTCATTTCTAATATTTTCTAACCAAGACTGTTTAAGTCTACCTCAACATTTCTTAACATAAGACAAATCTAATACATCTACTTTCCTAACCATATCAACGGAAGGCCACCGTTTTATGTGATCATAACATTTAAGGCAACTCTCTCTAATCTTATCTTCCACTGGAGCTACTCCAACCTTTTCACGTATATGCTACTTTGTATCATGTCTCTAAGAGTAAAGCAACTCATCCACCTGAGCATCCTCATCTCTGCAACACTTAACTTAATATTAAGCTTCTCTTTTAATGGCCAAAATTATGCACCATAAATCATTGCAGGTCTCACTACTATCTTATACAATTTTCCCTCAAGTTTGAGAGGGACTTTTCTATCACACAACAAGCCCGATGCATTCCTCTCCACTTCAACCATCCAACTTGAATTCTACTTTTCACCATTACTCTGAACAATAGACCTATGATATCTAAAACGTGTACTTTTTTTAATGATTTGATCGCCCAAAGTCACAATCCCCCCACAATAACTATTATTAATAAAATTACACTCTGTATATTCAATTTTAGATCTACTCAAACGAAAGTCTTTAGACTTTAAGGTTGACTTTCATAATTCAAGTTTACCTTCAACTTCATCTCTAGTCTTATCAACAAGAAGAATGTCATCAGCAAAAAGAATACACCAGTGTCGCTTGCAAATGTCTAGTGAGAACATCCATGACTAAAGAAAAAAGATATGGGCTTAAGGCTAATCCTTGATGTAAACCAATAGAAATAGAAAAATACTTGGTCAAATCACCTTATGTCTGAACAAAAGTAATAGCTCCAGCGTACATATCCTTAATGACTTGAATATAAGCATTATTAACCCCTTTCTTTTCTAGAACTCCCCATAACACTTCTCTTGGAACTTTATCATATGATTTCTCTAAATCAATAAATATCATATGTAGATCCTCCTTATTCTCTCTATACTTCTCCATCATACCTCTCAATAAATTTATATCGTCCATAGTAGACCTACCCGGCATGAATCCAATTTGATTTTAAGAAACATTAGGATCACGTCGCAACTATGCTACATAACTCTCTCCCATAGTTTTAAAGCATGACACATTAACTTAATTCCTCTATAATTCGCACAATCTTGTGCATCATCTTTAACTATAAAAATAGGAATTAACACACTCATTCTCCACTCATCTGACATATTTTTTAGTCTTCAAAATAATATGAAAAAGCTAAGTAAGCCAAGAAACTCCTTAATCTTCTAAGCATTTTCACACCTCTATTGGAATATCATCAGGTCCAACAGCTTTTCACACTTAATTTTCTTTAAAGCCTCTCTAACTTCGATTTTACTAATAAACCATTACGTCGATAAAACAAAATCTTTCTTTTCATTTAGGGTGCTAAGGTCACTAAAATCAATCGCATTCTCATAATCTTCATTGAAGAGTTTATAAAAATATTTCATCCACCTTTATTGAATATATTCTTCTAATAAAAGCACTTTTTAATCTTCATCCTTAATACATTCACTTGAAATAAATCCTTACTATTATTATCTCTTTGTTTGGCCAACTTATATATATATATATATATATTTTTCACCCTCCTTAGTATCTAATCTATTATATAAATCATTAAAAGCTAAAATTTTTGCATCGCATATTTTTTTTTAGACTCCTTACGGATCTCTTTATATATTTCTCAATTATCAGAATTTTTACATCTAAACTAATTTTTATAACAAATCTTCTTCTTTTTTTTCTTTTCTTGAATATCTAGATTTTATCACCAACTATTTTTACTATTAGGAGATTTTCCCTTTGATAATGCAAGCACATCTTTCACAACATTTTTAATATCACTAGCTACTTCCTCATGCACAGACAAACTTTTGAGATCTAGCATCTTACTCTCAAAAATATTTTTGTTAATATTCTTTAAATGTCTCCATCTAATCCTAGAATAATATTTTACTTTATTTGTTATTTTCTCCCTCTTCATCTTAAAATTCAAAACTAATAAGTGATATTTGGTACATAAAATAATCTTTGCAATCTAAACGATCTATTTTTCTTATTTGAAAATAATCAATCTGAGTTTTACTATATTCATTCTTATAAGTGATGAGATGCTCATCTCTTTTCTTAAAAAAAATATTAGCATTTACAAAATCATAAGCCAAAGAAAAATCTAATAAGGTCTTACCACCTTCATTAGTCGCTCCAAAGCCATAACCACCAATGAATGATTTTAAAATCATCCATGTCCATTTAAATCTCCTGAAATTAAAAAAAAAAATCTTCAAGAGGTATTCTTTTAAGGCATTCCAAAATTTTAATTTTGAACCCAAATCCAAACCTACTTGAGGAGCATAAGCATTTATAATATTAATAATCTTAGCATCAACAATAATCGCTAAAGTTATAATTTTATCTCCAACAACAAAATCAAGCCTTTACCCCACTATGTGGGGTTAGCTACATGAATCCTTTTACACAATTGTGTCAGGTTAAAAGGCAAATTCTCATTTAAATATAATAAATAAAAATAATTTCTAATATTTTCTAACTAAGTCTTTTTAGGTCTACCTCTACCTTTCTTAACATAAGTCAAATCTAATACCTCAACTTTCCTAATCGGGTCATCGGAAGGCCTCTGTTTAATGTGACCAAACCATTTAAGGCGACTCTATCTAATCTTATCTTCCATAGGAGCTACTCCAACTTTTTCACTTAATTTTCTGGCATCTTTTTAGTCTTCAAAATAGTATTAAAAAGTTTAGTAAGCCAAGAAATTTTTTCATCTCCTACGCATTTCTACATCTCTATTGGAATATCATCAGGTCCAACAGCTTTTCCACACTTTATTTTCTTTAAAACCTCTCTAACTTCGATTTTATTTATATGCCGATAAAAATAAAAATTTTTATTTTCATTTAGGGTGATAAAATCACTAAAGTCAATCGTATTTTCACGTTCTTCATTAAAAAGTTTAGCAAAATACATCATCCACCTTTATTTAATATCATCTTCTAAGAAAAGTACTTTTTGATCTTCATCCTTAATAATTTTATCTCCAATTTTATTAATTTTTACAACATCATCCTTTAAACTCTTATCTATAATCAAACTTACACCATTTCTAGTATGACTCTTCCCAAAATACCAAAGTTTAAATCTTGAACTATCAATCTCTTTAACCTTCTCTCCAACCCATTTAGTTTCTTGAATGCATAAAATATTTATTTTTCTATGAATCATAATATTTATTAATTCTATTAATTTACATGTAAGGGTGCCTATATTCCAAGTTCCTATCCTAATTTTAGATTCATGAACTAGCTTCTTTGCCCACATCCATCCATGATGTGGGAACCCTTGCCTATTTCATGCGAGTTAGGGTGGACACGTGGATAGTTGGAGGCATGTGCGAGCGAACTGAGCACATGAGGCATGCGTGTGAGCCGCACATGGGCAAGTGGTTGAGGGCTTTTCACGAGCGCAAGGCAAGCCAGCTACCAGCTACCCTGGTAGGCTTCGAATGCACTTTACATGATGATTTTCACTCTAAAAAACTATGATTCTTCTTTATTTCTCTTCCCACAACCTTAAGAATGTTCCTATAAAATTCCCTTATGTTTAAAGTAGTAGTAGAGAAGGAACAAGTAGGAAGAATGAAGAAGAAGAAAAGACTGAAATTTGATTTTAATTAAAAGTTTGTATAATTATATTGCATAAAGCTAATTTTAGAAGTATAAAATTATAATAATTTATTAAGTAATACATTTAATTTCAATATAATATAATAATTTTAAATGAAATATAAAATTATAATATAGTAAGTAATAAATTTAAATTGAGTATAACTTAAATATATAAATAAAACTAGTAAGATGAGAATTAGGTTAAACAAATTTATTACAAAACACGTAAAGTTAAGAATTTATAAAATTTGCTCCAACTATTTATAGGTGTACTTTTTATTGAAGAAAGATATTAAAGATACAATTTAAAGAGTGAAATAAACAACAAAATTATAATAAAGAAAGTTTGAGGATCAAAAATTCTTATGTTATATAGGTCTCATTGAGGGAAGCAACTTTTAAAAGGAAAATAAATTCTCCAAGCTAAGGTGTAATTAGGTTTTCAATTTTGTAATAATTATTTCCGTTCCTCCAATCGAATGCATTGATAACTATTTTGATTTATGCCGGACTGCTATTGCAAGGTTCTAAAATGATTTTCATTCATTTATGAAATCTCCTTCCCAAATTGCTAATCTTAATTAATTACTTCCAAACATGATAAGCATATGAGATCATTAAAGAAAATGTATGATGATTGGAATGCAA